CCAATATACAAGGGTAAGACTTCATTTTAAGCTATTATAGACAATCACCTCTATGCACACTACAGAAACGCATGTAAACCAGGACAAAATATTTTAAAAATCAAATTAATGGATGTAGATGTTCACTTCTTAGAATATAATTTGGTATTTTTTGGGTCCTGAGATGGCAAAACCCCTTGCTGAAAGGAGTGCTTCCAGGGGCAAGGGGAGGGACCTCTGGTGGCAAAGGTCAGGGGTTAGGGGGCAGAACTTCCAGTCCCAAGGTGGCAACCAGGGGGTAGGACACCTGTCAAGGGAGCAGAGCTACCCATGTGGCCCTCGACAACTAGCCAAAACTTGGTAAGTGGCCGTCTGCCTGAAATAATTGCCCACCCCTGCCTTAGATAGTTTATAAAAGCCAGCGTGAGCTACAGCCCCTCCTTTCTGGTGATGCATTTGAGATTGACTTCCAATCCCATTGTCTGCTGCCCTGCTGCGGGACGATAACAATGGCGAAGTCTGGTTAAAAAGGCAAACAGCCCCAGCAAAATCTGCTTGGAAAAGATAAAGCTTCAGCTCTATGCCTGAGAGCTACAGAGTTTTAATTAATGTAGAGATGTGATCTGAGGGCCAGGGTTTGGTGAGAACCTGGACTGTAATAAACATGCTGTACTGAAAAAATTGGTTGGTGATCTGCAGAAGGGGAAATCTTTTCTGCTCCAGTCTGTTAGCGGGTATCAAAGAGCTGTTGGCCTGCTCTCATCACAGCTGTTATTGCGGCCTTTAACAATCTCCATTTATAGCTCAGGAATTTGCATTGTGGGACTCCTTCCTTTCCAAGATTATTTCACATGCTTTTTTGAAATTCTGTGGGTTGCCCAAGTGCAGTGGTTGGAAAGCATGGGTCCCTGGCAGGCTAATGGGACCATCACAAGTTAAAATAGATTGTGTGGCATGTACCAGATGTGCTTCCAGCACCATTTCCTGCATGATTGCTCACAAACTTAAAGCATGAGCAGGCAGCTTTACCTTGTGGCAAATGGGGAGAAGGGAAAAATGCATGTTCAGAAAGAAGAAGGGATGAATGCTGCAGGTGAATAGAGGCACAGTTACCTCCTCCTAATAAGCCAAGATGGGTTGACAAGCCTTTTGCACCAGAGAAAAGAAATACAGGGCAACGTTGTTTATAATTATAACCAACTTCCCTGTGAGTGGGAGAAAAGGCAGCTAAAAAAGGGTGTTTGCTGTAACAGTGTAGATCAGTTGGCTGTTTCCTCCTAACAAAAATACCACTTTTTGCCCTTGAGGTCAGTGAAAGTGAAGGTTTGTTTTAAATGGGGCTCCTTTATACTGAGGCTTTACTGTCGCACAGGGTCTGTGTCCTTTATGGTTAGTTGCCTCATTCCTAATAGTAGGTCACTAACAATGGGCCTCATATTTGTGCCAACTCCATGTGCGCCCAGCAGACTCAGTGGCTCCAACAGCATTAGCTGGTTCTGATGTAAGTTGTCACTTATGGTTGGACTCCAACCTAGAGTCATGGTGGGGTTGGGTAGGCGGGGGACACCCCCCCCAGATTTCTGTGCCAACAGTGGGGCATGGGGCTGCAGCCTGGCTGGAGCCAGGTCCTGGCAACAGTGGGGGTGGTGGCAACAGTGCAATTTCTGTGCCAACCATGGGGTATGGGGCTGCAGCCTGGCTGGACCCAATGCCCAGCAGCATCAGGGGCAGTGGCATGGAGTTGTCCTCTTCCACCGTCAGCACTTAAGTGTCGCCTGTGACTCCAACCCTTCCCTCTTATCCCCAAATGGCCAGGCTGATCTGTTTCTAAAGGGACAGTTGGTCTTCTGAAACGTTGCTGTAGCTGCTCAGGTCTCCTGTTGGCCCTGGAGGTTAGCAGCATATCTGCCAGTCTGGGGTGGGTGAGGAACAGGAAGTATCCCTCCCATTGTTCCACAGTTTGCTTTTTGTAACTCACAGTTGTTTTCTCTATGTTAGTTCATACAACTGTTTTCTCTTTCTTCCTTTCCTTTTCCCTGTCTCCAGCTGCCGATGAAAAGTTCTCCTTTAAATATAGCCCTGGAAAGCTGAGGGGAAACCAGTATAAGTCAATGATGACCAAAGAAGAACTCGAAGAGGAGCAAAGGTATGTTGAACTTATTTTTGACTGTTGGAGAAGGCCAACTCACTGCCTACCGCTTGCAGCACATGGTTGATTTGACCCCCAGCAGAAGGAGCAGGAGCCCTGGGCTGGCCAGCAAGCTTGTGCAGTGCAAAACTGATTTGAGAAGTGATGCGATTGTGACCCACTTTGTGGCTGTTCAGGCCCCTTCTGTGGATACTCTAAAACCAGTTCCTCAACTGGTATAAATCAGCATACCTCTAGGAAAGATATTGAAGTGGATTCTTAGCTGGAGTAGATCAGCATCATTTCACAAACTTCACCTGTGCAGTTGCATACATTTACACTGGCTGAGAGCCTGGCCCTACCACCTTTCTTCTTCCTTTGTCTGCTGTCCCTATGAAAGGCCTCAGAAATGGGGATTTGCAAAAGAGGAATAATTAAAACACAGATGCTGCCTTGTTCAAATATAATATCATGTAGATGCTATTAGTATTTTCAATCAATACTTCAGATTTGGGCCTTGCAGCGTGGTTGTAAAAGAGTAATAATCACCACCACCACCACTACCTTCTCTATTCAGCTGCCTGCAGGGCACACAAAACTGGGGATGGCCCCAACAGGGTTTGTTAGGGGAGGACACGGTAAGAATCTGGCTTTCAAACATCTTGAGTACTCGCAACATTGAAGGAAGTCAGTAGGAATGGAAGTGTCCAATGACTCAGAAAACCAGCCCCTCTGGCCTCTTCCCCATCTCTGATTTCTACGTATCGATTTCACATTCACATGCTGAGAATGCCTGAAGTTTGCTTCTCTAGAACGCTACCTGGGGCTCTTCTTAAAACTCTTTCCGGGGAAGGACTTGTCACCTTTTCATAAAATGACCTCCCCAGAGAAGAAGCCACCATCTTCCAGTCTGCTAAGAACCAAATCAAACCCCAAGCTTGTCCCTCTGCGCAAACCACAGCCCATACACAAGATCCTGTTTTGAATAAATCAGTCACTGAACAGAGAGCACCATATGGCAGGTGGCACCCATGCTTCTGAGGGGTCCCAGCACCGTGGGGCTCTAGAACAGCACTGATTAGTGCTAAGAACTGGAAAAACATAAAGAGCAAACTTCTCTTGGTTGACTTAAGCCAGAACGCTGTGCAAGAGGAAGGGGGGTCATGTGGGAAACCTGCCCTGCTGCTGCCTGTGCTGCACTGCTTGTCCAAGTAACTAATGCTCTTCAGTCTCCAAAACTAACTTGATCCCTCCTATACAGAGGCCTTGAAGCACAGCAGGGGCACCCTTTTATTCCACAGGGATAGGTAAGTACAGGGAAATACCAGGTGAGTTCATCTGGTAACGGAGGCAAGTTCTTGAGTAATGAGACAGTCCCTGGCTGTACTATAGACCTCCTGACTTCTGCAGTACCTTCTTTTTCAAACAGTGCTAAGATTTGCCTTGTTAGAGAGCCTCAGGGATCAGACTTTCTTCCTATTTAGCACATCATCTTCCAGATTTTACCCGTTGCCTTTACGAAAGTTGTTTTTCTGAGAAATTCTCCAAAGATACCTTGGGGACTCTGTGTTTTAGTCCTCTGAATATGAATGATTAGCCTAACTCCACTATGTGGTCTCGTGCACACATTATACGCTCTCTTCACCTCCCATCCCTGTTCTGAAGGAAGGTCTGATGAAGTGAAGTGATCTAGTTATGAAATTGCCTCCAGTTTATAAACGAGCAAAGCTTTCCAGGCTCAGCCTTACTGGGTCCACACCAGCTAGGCCGATCCCCAGATATTATGACAAAAGGCATGATATAAAAATCAAGGTGAGAAATGGGCTAACTGAAGCTGTCAGTGGAGTGAAGGGGACGGGGATTACACCCTTGATTCACACTTTGCCAACAGGCAAATCTTTCTTTAAGACCTTTATGACTTTGCCCTTTGCTGTCCAGGGCTAGGAGGGCAACCTTGATTTTTCTAGGGAGGTAGGAAAGGTAGCTTCTTTCGATGCCTTCTGCATGCATATTCCTCTTCACAATGCAGTGAGTGGGGTTTAGTTGTTTTCCTTGTTACTGTGAAGCACACTATATACTTGTATTTCTGCAGGGGAAGTCTTGAGCCCTGTGTCTCCATTGCCTTGCACCTTGTGCTGGTGCAGAGAGGGTGTAAAATGCTCCAAAATCACAACATTGCCTGCTTGATAATGGTGCCAATGTCTATGAAAGGGGCAGTACAAGAAAGAATTGGACCCACATTGAGGACAGTTATAGAAAACGTGTCATGATTCATTTCTCTTATCCGAGCTGGACTGGCTGGAAAACAAGAACTCCATTTTGCGTAGTATGTTTTGAGGCTTTGGAATTTAGTGGGGTGAATCTGAGCTCTTTTGAGATGCTTCAAGAAAGAAACCAGAATAGCCTGGCGGTTGGGACACTTGCCTGGGGTAGCTGGTGTTATGTCACCAGGTGTGACTGCCTGGTAGTTGATCAGAAAATCCCATCCTAGCCATGAAGCCTTTCTAGTGAAAGGTTTATCACAGGTAATGTGTTCCTACAAAACACTTTTTGGTTTCAGTGTATTGACTTTTTCTGATTTAAAAAAAAAAATGGTTTCATTGGAAAATTAAAAATGAGCTTTACATGTGTTCCAGCCCAGGACATACTAGTAAATATACCTGGTTCTTTTTTGAACAGAAGACCTAGATGAAGGCTAAGGAAGAACAAATTGTTGTTATCTCGTCATTGGCATCACTTTGTATGGCTTTCCCTTTGAAATCTTTTGAAACAATTTCTTTAAGCAAGTATATGATGAATCCTCCTAGTAGTCAGCATTTTGGTGCCATCCAGCAAGGAAGGGGTCTTGCCGACTTTGAAGGAATGAATAAGCGGTCAGTGACCCAGTCTCTTTCTAGTGACTGAGAAGACTGTCCTGTCCTTGGTGTAGAATCCACTCTTGGGCCCAGACCTGCACATTTTGGGTAATGATCTCTCTCTCCTGGAAGGGGTTGGGGGAAGAGCTGCACGCTCAAGGGCAAGATATGTTGGATGAACTTCTGATTTGGTGGGCTGTGCCTGGAGAATGGCTAGCAAAATGTATCCCAAAAAATTCTTACTCAGATTCCTGTCAGTTGGGATCTTATTAATAAATCTTGCTCTTCTGTGGTGGTGTAACCTTTCCAGCCTGCTGAGAGGAAGAGCCTGGAAAGACAGTCACTTTAAAGGTTACATTTGCATGAAAGGGTATGTCTAATTGCAGACTGTAGACATACCCAAATGGGCTTTAAGCCAGCAAGCCTAATCATGGCAGCACAGAGCTCAAGGTAGGTTAATTTACCCTGATTCTTGGCAGGTAAATTCACAGGTGCTGAGCTCCATCCTGCCATAGCTATTGTGCTACTGGTCCCCAGCTACCTCATTCAAAGTTTGCTCGGGCTTCGCTACACTGCACGGCTGCCTAGAATGAAGTTTGAAGCGTACAGCCTGTGGCATTTCACTCGCTCCCATTTTATCAGTACATTGGAAAAGCCAGGTTGGTTTCTCTTTTTAAGTGTTGCCACAGATAGAGCAGCGACTCTTGTCGAGGTGATGCTGTGGGATTCCACATTTTGGCTTGTTCCAGACCAAATCTGCTTGATGTACAAGTCAGAAGAGGATCTCCCCTTCCTTCAGTTCCCAAATGTTTCGCCACCCCCTAGGATAGGAAAGTCCTGCTTGCCTTGTTTTTGCTTCCTGTACCTTCACCAGCAACACAGCTTCTAGCGCTTGGGATTAGTTTTGTTGCTAGGAGGATAGATATTCTCCCACTGGCTCTGCCATGGCCAAATGGACTTTGTTGTTTGTAGCAGTGTGCACTTATTTTGCTTTTCGCCTCTCACTGTTGTTGTATTCTGACCATACTCTTAGCCCTCTGATCTGTTAAGAAGCTAGGCATGTCTGCTAGCTTTGTTGCATTGCTTCCACTGTGAGAGGGCCCTGATGGATGAGTCCTGTATGACTGACTGTGAATGAAACAGAGGGGGCTCTTGAGATTATTCTTAACAGGCTGAACTCAAAATATGTCCTGCCATAGAAATGTGTCACCAGGCTCCCTTGGACTGCATGTGCGAGCTGAACCAGAAGTGATGGGCTCAACTCAATAAATAGTCAATTGGTTAATGGTCAGAGTCCTGGAGTCTTGTCATGTAGGAGGTCAGGCTGCCTGAACCCAACGATCCCTCCTGGCCATAACGTGGGAGATGAACCTTCCTGGCCCAGTGAAAACATGGCCATAGAAGTTAACAGGACCAGGATCCTGTCATATGAATGCTATGTGGAAGTTAACCCTATGGATGCCTCATTTATCCCAGCAAGGGCCACCAAGGATTTCACCACTGATCAGTTTGCAAGCATTTCCTGTGAGCTATTTTGCAGATAGACCTTGTTGAGAACACTTGGGTTGCATGTGTGGCACACGTTCAGACACACTAAGCTAATTCTGTGCCTTCTGCCACCTCAACAGGAAGCAGTATAGCATTGTGCAGTGCTGCACTGTGCTTGGGCAGATGTATCCTGCCTCTCAGCAGTGTGCCATGCACATGTGGCTTCCGGTGAGGGAGCTGGCACGGACACTGCAGGCTATGGTATCTCTGCATATCTCACTTGTCCCGTACAGACCCACACGTTGCAGGTTGCTGTTCGACTTGGGGTTGCTTTTGAAAGCTGTTTCCTGCCTCCCATACTAAGGGCCATGGGCAGACTGCTGTATTTCTCTTAACTGCTCCTTTATTTTTCTTGTTGATGCCCCATGTATCTGTGTTCTTTTTTTATTTTTTTTTCCCTTTTCTTTAAAGAAGCTTTGTATGTTTGTTTCTGGTTTTATTTCCCCCTGGATCTTGGCTCTGGCATCAGCAACTTTTCATTTCAGGCTTCACAGCATCCTCTCCTCTTCTAGCTGATATATTGGGGCAGGGCGGCTGTCAGGTAAGGCACTGACTGGATCAGTTGAGAGTAGTGATGCAGCCCAGCATCTTTCTTTGTCCTACCTCTTCTCGCCC